TTGGGTCTTTCCCTGCAACCACATGATTCAGTTCATGGGGTGCTACATGCTGGGAGGGGGAACTGCCTCCAAGAAGAATATTCAGGAAAAATATCATCAACTCAGTAAAAACCGAGGCAGATTTTAGGTTATCAGAAATGTTACTTCTACTCAAGGTCTGCTTTTAGTAAGGAACGAAGCACAGTCTAATAAAATCTGTGAATATGCAGCCTAGCATCACTTTGCTTTGCTTTAGTAACACAGATTTGTTTAAACACCACATACTTTTCCAGGACACATAATGGCCATTAATACCAAATCTGACTGCAGATTAATTTGTTATGGAGCAAAATTAGAGAATGAGAATGAATAGGTAAATTGTAATCTTGATGTAACAATATTTCTGACTTCATAAATAAAATGACATTGTGACTACTAACATCAACTACTTTATGTTATTCTTACACTAGGAGTTAACCATGTACAATGACATATGCTTTATATGCTCAGAATCCCAGAGAGTAAAGCTCACCACTAACATGAAAGTGAGAATAAATCATTCTAAATTCACTTGCATTTACTGAATATGCCAATTGTAATGCAAAGTTTAGCTCTACATTTCCAGCAAAGTGAAGTGAATCAACTTGAAACATGGCTGTCACGGTCATCAAGAATTACCAAATACTGCATTAATGAGAGATTTAAATCCTCGTTAAGATGCAGTTTTAGGGGGAAAAGCTAAGATGCAGTCTTAGGGGGGAAAAAAAAACAAACCCCACAGATATTTATATCTGAAAGAGAGAGGAAAAAAAACACACTAGAAAAAGAAAAACAAAGAGTACGAGGAGAGGAGAAAACAGGCAGAGCAGGACTATTAACAGGCTGCTGTTTTGCTGGAAAAGTCTTGTCTGACACTTCCATCTTTTAATTAAACATAATTAAATACACAGATTCCCTGAATGCATATTCTTTTTAGAAGAGACATTTGGTTAAATATCTCTGTGCTAAAACCCACTAAAATAATCCAAAAAAGCATAAAAGCATCGATTTCAAGACAATCTGACAAGTGAGATAACAGAGCACGTATCTTGCACAAAGAAACAAATCAAAATTAGAGCAAAAGCACATACACAGTGTGAATTTAATTACACTTGAACTGAGGAATTAATATTTAAATGAATACAGCTGTTAGCTTTTCCTCATATAATGTACTAGCTTAAAAGTCTAAGAAGAGCAAAACGGAGAAGTTGAAATATTTCTTTAAAATACCAGTGAATGCTTCTTTCTTGAACTCAATTCAAAGGTAGTCTGATATAGCATCTCCACAAAATTTTTCAAACATGGCACATTCACTTCATTTTTAACAGCCTGTTAAAAAAATAATGCAGACATAAATGGGTTTAAAAGTTTATACAGAAGGCAATTTAAATATACATTAAGATGTCCATGAATTCAAGAACATCCAAAAGTTAAATCTTACATTAGGTAAGTATTTGAGTGTATTTATCTGAAATATAAACAGAAGCATAGGAAATCGTGTCATACACTACTTCTATACAGTTAAAAAAAACAAACCCAAAACCCATTAAAAAAACCACTATTTTAAGAACGTTGCCTGTATCCTATACTTCAAGAAGAAAAAGTATTTACCACCAACTAACAAATAAGAACTACACTGAAGCTCTTTATAAGCATTTCATGTATTAAAAAAAAAAAAAAATACCCAAAGCTTTTT